ACAACAACAAATACAGTCGTCGTTTGCAGTAAAATAAAGCACAAACAGATGATAGTTAGTGATAAATATCGAGATGTTCTCAGATAAGCACTTCGAAACAACAACGTTTCTCAGTTACTCATCATATCACCATTCACTATTAATAGAAGCAAAACAACAGAGGCAAAATTCGTTGTTCAATGCTCTCGAAAAATTCGCTGAATTTGATTTCAAAAATAAAGTTTAACACCTAAAAAATCAAAACAACGATTTTTGGAGCCGGATGATAATCACTTGAATTTGAAATGTTAGACCTCAATGTACGAATGAATTGCTAATTCATCAGTCTCATAGATCTGATAGATCAGTCTACAATCCATAAATTGCTTCAGGAATACAATCACAAACGTTCAGAGATTTCCATATTATATCAACAAAAAGCAGAATGCACAATAAAATTAGTTCAGAGTTAAGTGAAAAGACAACTTCAAAAAAGAGACATACAAATGTACAATTCGAAACCATAAAAGATCATAATGAACATGATANTTATTCGTCATGCTTTGAGTGAACATGTAATTTACAGAAAAACATCAGAAATCCCTATCCCAACCGCTAGTCTCGCGACCAATTGCGAAACGATCCAGCACTGGAAAATGCTCGAAATTCCTCGTATCCGCATCGCTACGGATCTGAAAAATCATTCAAATCAGGTGAGTGTTAACTCTCAAATATTTCACTCGTTAACTTTCCAAATCACAGCTCAACTTCCAAATGTGACGCAACCTCGAGAGTACATGAATCGGATTTGACTTGACATTACCTTCGGATATCGAAGAATTCATTTGAATCCTACAATTCACGTGTTTTAAAACTCAATGTTTGCTTGAAAGAGTCCCGAGTAAAACTCAGTGGCAATTATTCAAACCCTATCAACAATAAAATGATTGAAAGAGGATTTAGCGAAAGAAGGAAATGATGATTCGAACTCTATAAACAAAAAGCGAAAACAATATTTCGCGCTGCAAAATAAACGCGTAAACAAGAGCCTGTTTTACAAAGATCACCTCTGCCAATGCCTAACCACTGAACAACCGAAGCATAAAATCATGAATGTCACGTGAAACAATGTGTTTGTTTGCCACGCTCGCATTCTCCCCCGATCCTATCAACAACATAATTCCTTCACGGGAACGTAACCAAAAACAAAATCAGCTGTTCAGTGCGCCGCACAAGATAGGCACGTGCAATCTATTCGTCAGCACATGTTTTTCAATATCACTGAGCTCATTAAGTAATGAAAAAAAGCCCAGAATACAATCTCATAATCCTATAATACTGCTCACAAATGTCTGCTGAATGATAGCAAAAATCAAAAATTACGGCAGATGCATTACGCACTCAAATTGTTGCTTCTTTATTAAGAAGTTAATTATTATAAAAGTTACTGCAAACATTGACTGCTGAAATTCATGAATAATGGTTTGCAATTCAATAAGAACACGTTTATATTGCAGAAGAAGAGAATGTGTTTTGATTTGAAGATGTGGAAGAATTTCTGTATTTGCAGTTTTCTAATCCTAGAGAAATCCTAAACGCAAATATTCTTTTGGTCCAAAATGATGCTCTATGATTGCAATGTGCATTTACTTGCTCGTCGAAATCGATAAGGAACGGACTGTTATAACTGATGTGTGGAAGAAATTCAACATTCGAACGAGAACAACTTACATTAGGAATAATTGGTGGTTTCATTTTGAGTGAACGGAACGCTTCAAAATCGAACATGCTGTACCACGAAGCCTCACGAACGTCTTGCATCCGGTTATAACCGAGTCGTTGATGTGGCTCTTTTCGACACAAATTGAAGATCAGGGTGATCGCATCCTGGGATAAATACTTCGGCCATACAAGCGATTCAATACCGCGTAGAATTGCATTATACGTTGACATTGTATCCGAACACAGGAATGGAGGTCTGCAATTATCGTTCCATTAACGGATATGGTCGTGAACTTTTGGATTGTCAGAATTTCACACGATTATCGGAACAAAATGGATAAAACGATCGATTTTTAAGCTGGACTCGCCATCTCATTCACTCTGCAAGAGAACAGCGAAAAATGCAGAAGAACGAAACTGCCAACAATTATTTAGAAAATGATTAAAACTTTTGTTGATATTGATTGATGAAATCTGCTGAGTGCGAATATTCAGATACATGATAATGATAAAACGAAAAAGATTAATAAACGAATAGAAAGAACGAGTTGGATATGAAAGTGTGAATGAATCAATCGTAATAGAAATGAGCGAAACGTACGATCCAGTCAGCAATTCGTACATGAAAACGCCTAATGCCCACAAATCAACAGCTATATCGTGCCCTTTATTGAGAACAATCTCGGGCGCAATATACTCAGCAGTACCACAAAATGTCCAAGTTCTACCATCGTCTTCGTCCAAACGTTTTGCAAAACCAAAATCCACCTGAAAAGTCAACTCATTTAAGAAATTTCATCTCAAAACATAAGTAAACTTCTTCCGAATTCTTCAGTTATCTTAAAGATTTGAACGCAATCTCGCGAGACACAAACGCTTTTTCTATGGGCAAAACTTTATCGGCTATCAATGCAACGCAATTTTTAAAGTCATTATTCACGCTGATTGCATTCTATCAATTGTGATGCGCACGATTGTCCGTCCCTTTTTGTCATTCATTTCAATCACCCAAAACTCAATTGTTTGTTTCTTATTGAAAGATGACCTATTCACGAATATTACAGCGTTTAATGTGTTGTTGTAACAAACGAAAGAAAAATCATTTAGAAAGAAAAGTAAAGTGCACGAGAACTTTGAACAAGATTTGTATAAGTGCGAAATGGGTTCACTTTTTGTTATGATTGAGAACTAGCAAACAAATGAATAATGTTTCTCCAATTGTTAGTAATCACAATGTATATTTCGTCTCACAGTTTCACATCGAAGATTTTTCACTTCCTCAAAACCTTTCACTCATTTATTCAGTTACATCTCTGTTCTCACGACACTCTTCCGAATAACTGCTAAGCGATTTTAATCCACTTTAAACAGTAACGAACTGGAGCTGTTAAACACTAAAAAAAGGCGAACTTGCGATGAAAAAGCAAATTAATAGAGATCAATAGTGATCAGATGAATCGAGAAATGAAGATACCAGTTTAGGTATACCATCCTTTTGAAGAAGAACATTCTCGGGCTTGAGATCGCGATAGACAATTGAGCGACAGTGCAGATACTCGAGTGCTTCAATTATTGCCGCACAATAATAACGTGATGACGGCTCATCCAAACGTCCCCTAAAACACTGCAGCACTGTACACTCTCTTCACTTTGTTTACTTTGTAAGTTATATTGCCATCATCTTCTCTTGAACCACTGCAAACTCTCAAGAAATATTCACCAGAAAATGATAAATAAGAATTCCGACTGAAGTTCGGCGAAGAGCAGTAATGTCAATGCGAAATGGAATATTTGATTGAAACATTCTCAATGATGCTAGCGAGCTTTTAAAAAAACCTTCGAACAAAATTGATATTTGGATGTAATTTCAGAACGGCAAACAAAATTTCGCTCAATCAACACCAACGGATTCAAATAAAAAAAAGGCATTTCGCTCACCTGTCTCGAATAATTGTATACATTTCACCACCTATACAACATTCCATCAACATATATACACGTTGTGCATCACGATAGGTTCGGTGTAACCTGCAGAAGTTCAACA